TTTTTTGTGTGTGTGTAGTTTCAGATATTACATATGAGTCATACCCTTATTATCTATGCAACAAGACTATTATTATTTTATACAAATAGACAAGTTTGTCCCTTATACTTAAAATATATTCTTTTATGTAAGATTATTATATTATTGTATTTTATCTACGATAATTTAGTCCTTGTTTCCTCCTTTTGTCTTATTCAAATACTTTTTGCTTACTTAAAAAGATAAATAAAATGAAGATAAAAATGATCATATTTATAATGTAAGAGAATCAAATATACTATATTACATTAATTAGACATTAATTTCTCGACATTTGAAATGATAAATCTATAAAAAAATAAAGTTTCAACAATAAATCATGTGACTGGAAGGCACAATGTTTAATTGATATTGATCAAAATATTAAGATATTTAGGAGTTCTATGCAATATGCAAGCTTAAAAGTAAGGTATCCTTAATTGTTGTTTTCCAATGACACGTAATGAGAATATTAAAGAAGTTAAAACAATTTAGAAGTCCAACCTAATCCTTAATTAAAATTCATAACAAGGAAGATTGTAGCACTAGATCAAAAGCTTTTTTCTAACATTTCTCCAAATAAAAATTGTTAATTGAACAACAAAATATTTGGGGGCAAGATTCACATCTGCCTTGTCCTTTGGAACGCAAAAATTGGCGCCTGATGAGTGCGTTAGAGGTGCTACATTGAGGTTTTGTACTTGGCTTATGGATACACACTATCTTATGTTGGGAGCTGTCTAGTTCTACACTTGTAATAGTTAGCATTTACAACTTTCTTAGCTTTAGCTTTAGCTTAGCAGTTTTTATCTTGAGTTTTGGACAAATTATAAACTTTGGATTCTTGTTTTTGGGTTATTATTTATATATTAGCCACTAGGCATCCAGCGTAGTGGTATATTTGCTATAAAAAAAAAAGTTTTTTGGGGCACCAATTTATGTAGGAAGGAAGAAAGTATGTTACTTTAATGATATGATTACCATAGTGACCAATAGAGTGCGGGGATGGAACAATAAACTTATATCTGCCGTAGGAAGAGCTATTTTGGTCAAATCAGTATTGTTTTTCTATCTATGCACATCATGGTTGCAGTAGACCCTCCTAAGACCATACTCAATTATATTAAAAAAGTTGATCTGTAACTTTTTCTGGGGAGAGTTTGAAGGCAGACCAAGATTTTCACGGAAGTCATTGTGCTAGTCACAAAAAAAAGATCTATACATGATATTTGTCTGGCTTTTGCTGCTAAAAAATGGTGGGGATTGAGAACACAACAATTCTTATGGAGGAGACTTATGGAGATTAAACTTGTGGAGAGAGTGTATTTATGCATACACACATTTAAAAGGGAAAGACCGGCCACTACAATCTAGTTTGCAAAATTACCATACAAGTATTGAAACTAAAACTCGAAGCCTCTTTTATCACATTAGAAATAAAAGAGGCTTCGAGTTTTAGTTTCAATACTTGTATGGTAATTTAGCTAACTAGATTGTAGTGGCCGGTCTTTCCCTTTTAAATGTATGTGTGCATAATAAGTTTGCCACAAAACTAATTAATCTAAAATTAGTAACGTAATCCACTTTCATTAATCATCTTGTCATTACGAAAGACAAAAAAAATTCATATATTTAATTTTCACCGTGTGGAGAATCACGCTCATTCAATTTTAAGCAAGAATTGCAAATAATTGAATACAAATAGAAGTACCAATGATTAGAGAAAGAGTTTAAGTTCATTTTGTGCACTAGTGGTTAGAATATTGACACTATGGGTGTGTTTCGTACGAAGGAAAATATTTTTCAATTTTCTCATGTTTGGTTAGCTTAAATATTTTGGAAAACAATTTTCTCCAATTGGAGAAAAATGTTTTTCTTATCAAGAGAAGAGAAAACATTTTCGAAAACTCCCTCTCAACCTTCCCCACCATCACCAACCCATCCCACATCCCCACACCCACCCACCCAACCCCACCCCACACCTACTCACCCCACCCCCTCTCTCCAAAAAGGCTTTTTTTTTTCCTTTCAAATTTTAATTTTTTTCCGTTACCACCCACCCTGTTTTCCCCCCTCGAAAAAAAATTATTTTTTTACCCCCTTTTTTTTTGTAATTTCAAATTTCTATTTTTTTCGTTTTTCTGC